ACTCTAAAAGCCCAGGAGAGAGGCTCCTATCTAAGCCACACTCTCCAGCTCCTCTGCATCTGCTCACTACCAGATAGCGCAGAAGTACAGCCAGCTATGTGTCTGCGTATGGGTGGATGCATGTGACATCATTGAAATAAATGTGTGTGTCCTGCGGTTACTATGAAAGCAGATGGTCATGCATTCAGAGTCGGTGTGATCATATGAGAGACTGTAGCGTCCACCTCACAGACCCAATAACTGACAGACAAAGCCAGAAAACAGACTTTTGTCTAACATGCAGTTGCTCACAAAGATAAACATATAAATGCTTTTTCAGCATGCCAGATGGATGTTGGTGCACAACTTCAACAGCAGTAATGAGCTGGTTATATAAAAGTGATATCATGTTTTAAATTAAAAACAAAGCAGTACAGGCCCCAATGTAGTCATGGCGAAGTTTTTTGTTTGTTTGTTTGTTTGTTTGTTTGTTTGTTTGTTTTTCACTATGGGGTAAAGCTATGCAATGATATGTGGTTTCTTTTACACCAGCTAACTATTTTTTTAATTGTTAAAAAAAAAGAAAAAGAAAAGAAAGAAAGAATATTCAGCCATTATTTACCCATGCTTATGTTGTACCAAAGTGGTTTGACTTTCTTATTTGTACAAAAATACACAATTTTTAACACCACAACAATGTTAGAAATAAACATACCAAAAACTCCTAATGTAATACATTTGCATAAGTATCCAAGCATAAAACTTAAAGTATCCTCAAGCCATACAATATCATGGATTTGTGTGACAATAGCCTGAAATTTAATTCATGAATCATTGAATCATTGACAAAAAAACAAAAAAAAACATGCAAACTTCTGCTATCAAATCACCAAGTTCAAATGGTGAACCAAATCAACTGGTTAATTTAAAAGAAATGTCTCAATGATTTGTATGCTGATCCATTTCAGCTCACTTATTCATTCATTCAGTCAGTCACAGTGGTTGTTGGATGTGAAGATTAAAATAACTTTCATTTTGGGTGATCTATTCATTTAAACAAGAACCAGCGGTGACGCAGGTGTCACAAACACTGGTGTTTGTTTGTTTGTTTGTTTGTTTGTTTGTTTTTCACTATGGGGTAAAGCTATGCAATGATATGTGGTTTCTTTTACACCAGCTAACTATTTTTTTAATTGTTAAAAAAAAGAAAAAGAAAAGAAAGAAAGAATATTCAGCCATTATTTACCCATGCTTATGTTGTACCAAAGTGGTTTGACTTTCTTATTTGTACAAAAATACACAATTTTTAACACCACAACAATGTTAGAAATAAACATACCAAAAACTCCTAATGTAATACATTTGTATAAGTATCCAAGCATAAAACTTAAAGTATCCTCAAGCCATACAATATCATGGATTTGTGTGACAATAGCCTGAAATTTAATTCATGAATCATTGAATCATTGACAAAAAAACAAAAAAAAACATGCAAACTTCTGCTATCAAATCACCAAGTTCAAATGGTGAACCAAATCAACTGGTTAATTTAAAAGAAATGTCTCAATGATTTGTATGCTGATCCATTTCAGCTCACTTATTCATTCATTCAGTCAGTCACAGTGGTTGTTCGATGTGAAGATTAAAATAGCTTTCATTTTGGGTGATCTATTCATTTAAACAAGAACCAGCGGTGACGCAGGTGTCACAAACACTGGTGATTATCTGAAAAGGTCTTTTTAAAGCATTATCCCTCACTTTCAACTCAGGAAGTCCCTAAGGGACATATAAGGAACACACAGGTTCAGTCATGTGATCATGGATTTGTGTGACAATAGCCTGAAATTTAATTCATGAATCATTGAATCATTGACAAAAAAACAAAAAAAAACATGCAAACTTCTGCTATCAAATCACCAAGTTCAAATGGTGAACCAAATCAACTGGTTAATTTAAAAGAAATGTCTCAATGATTTGTATGCTGATCCATTTCAGCTCACTTATTCATTCATTCAGTCAGTCACAGTGGTTGTTGGATGTGAAGATTAAAATAACTTTCATTTTGGGTGATCTATTCATTTAAACAAGAACCAGCACAGGTGTCACAAACACTGGTGATTATCTGAAAAGGTCTTTTTAAAGCATTATCCCTCACTTTCAACTCAGGAAGTCCCTAAGGGACATATAAGGAACACACAGGTTCAGTCATGTGACAATATGTGAATTTTTGTTGCCATGGCAACATTTCCAAAATGGTGGCCTTTCTAATTAGCACATGTTGCAGTGTCAGCAATTTTTAAAAGCGCTTGTTTTTGTTACTAAAGGTATGTTTCAACCCATGCAACAATTCTAATGTTTTAATAACCTATCTTAGATTACACTGATTTTAATACATTTCTTGAACAAATTGATATAAAACAAGTTACGAAAATATTGTGGTGACACATATGTCACATCGGGCTGTTAACCTTAAAACAGTAGGTGGAATTTTGATGTGACGTATTTGTCACAATTTTGTGTTGCATACAATTGCAATGTTGCATAACATTGTTTTGCATACAATAATTAACTTAATGCATTGTGCACAGAAGAAATTAAAGTGCCAAAGGTGATAACAATGGTTTGATCAGAGTGATCAAGTTTTTATTTCACTGACCATTGTATTGTTTGCTTGTTTACAATTTTATTGCACAATATACACATTTTAGCAATGTTATTGAACTACGTGCATGTTTAACCTCCAGTGTGAGATAGTTATTTATTTTTATTCAGTTTTATTCAAAAATTTCTAAAAATAAATTTCTGGTTAAACCATATACTTGAAAAGGTAGAATTTTGATATGTTACAAAAGAGTATTTACATGTAAAATGTAATGGTCACAGTTATGCGGTTTTGAAATATGTTGTGGCAAAGCAAATAAAATGCAAAACTGAATTACTTCTGAAAAAGGTTTTTGTTTTATCTTGCCAGAAAAGTAACAATTTTGATATGTTGTGAAAAAGCAAATAAACAGAATTTTTTTTTTGCTGTTATTTAGCAAAAAAAAAACTGACAAAATTTATTTTTTTCAAATGAGAAATAAATGCCCAATGTAAAATATATGTAACATTAAAAATGTATCATAAACGCCCAATGTAACTTATATGTCACATTACAGATCTTTTACAAGGAGATGTTGAATTTCAAAAACAACTGCAGAAACATGTTATAAGTGGTCCATTTGGTCTGTTTTATATGCCCCATAATTTTCCTATAAGGAGAAATTGGTCTGGGCTCTTATAGGTTAATGCATTAAGTTTTAAGCACACATATACACATTCTGCTAGTAAAGAGACTACAAATATTTCAAGAAAAAGAGTTTGTCCTTCAGTGTTTCAGTGTGTGTGGCTATTGGGTGTCTTGAAGTTTCTGAGATCAAGTGCACTAACTTTCTTGAACCTGTGGGTGGCACAAAGATCACCTGAGCACTGTCATGAACTTGTGATTTATGTAAGCTTGAATGTGTGTATGTGAGAGGATTACATTTTCACTCTGGACTTTATCCACTGCTTCCTGCCCAGCTTTGCCAGTCAGTCACAATCAGACTAATGGAGTGAAGTTTATCAGAGCAAGATGAACTTTGACCTGTAAAGCATAAACAAGTCAGGACAGGGTGAGGTTCATAACCGACACTTAGCCTATCCTGTGTACAAAAATTCCCACAAACGCACACTCATTTTTAATTGAACCCTGAATAGAAGGAAGATCAAGAGTGTCTTTTCCTGCCGCTGTAGAAAAGAATAAAAGCAAGGTATGACCTACCACAGAGAGGACAAAGAGATGACTCTGTAGCAGGTAAACCAAGACATCTGCTGAAACATGGGATGAAACACTGTCATCCATCTGAATCCGCTCTCATTCTGTTGCGCCGTCTTTCTATCTCACTTTCTTTCTGGTATCAAAGCGACATTGCTTTGGCTAATCAGCTACTCCTTTGATCCCTGTCTGTCAGGATCCCTGGGGACTCTGGGATGCCCTTTTATCTGCCTGACTACTGGGTCCTTTCAGAGAAGAGAGTGATAATCTGATTAACTGTAATACTTATCCAAACGGGTTCTCGTTTTCAAGGGATGGGTCACCGTGTCGTTACCTGGACTCTCTGTGGCTGCGTTCATTTCCTCTCCGGTGCTATTGCTCATGTTACATGAGCACAATGAGTAAACAAGACTAAGCTCTACCATACACACAGAAAACAGGCTCAAATCTCTTGGGATGAGCCTCTAAAAACAGGATATTCATTGATGTTTTGAGCGTAGGAGGTGACAGATTGAAATGATGAGGAGTTAGATGTGTTTTCAGTTTAGACAATTTTACACAATTCGTTTTTGGTAAAATTGTGAAGATTGTGAATTGTGAATGTTTTTGAAGATTGGTGGGGGTAAATTAATGGAGGGAAGTAATCTTTTTTTTTTCTTTCAGATTTTTCTAAATGAAAAAGATATGCTAATTAACTGTTGTTTGACTAATATGTTGACACAGGAAAAGTGTAATTTGTTTTTGAAAGAATTGTTTGAGAGATGTTTGGATTAAATGTTTAGATGTTTGGACAAAATTTAGTACGTTTTTTATTTTAAAGAATGAGTGCACTTGTTTTAATAAAGAATATTTACTTGTTTTAATAAAAATTATGATCGGCAGTAGGGCTGTGCGATATTGAAGAAAAATGTGATATGCGATGTCGGTGTGTGTAAAATCAATTTCAATTATATTTTTTAAAAAAATTTAAATTTCACATTCTTTCTTGGAAAATAAAGAATCACTATAACTTCTGAAAGTGACCAGCAGTGTTTTAGCATTACTTAAAAAGTAATGTCACAAATCAGAAAATTGTATTTAACATCATGTGAACATACAAACAAAAAAATTAATGACACTAATTTTATATCATTGTAAATTTGCTTTCCACACACTTTAAGTACTTCTTCATATACCACAGCAAAAACTATAGTCTGAGAAACTTCAAACATGATTAAAGGCAAGTGAACAGTCAGTAAAAAAAAAAGAAAAAGAAAAGAAAGAAAGAATATTCAGCCATTATTTACCCATGCTTATGTTGTACCAAAGTGGTTTGACTTTCTTATTTGTACAAAAATACACAATTTTTAACACCACAACAATGTTAGAAATAAACATACCAAAAACTCCTAATGTAATACATTTGCATAAGTATCCAAGCATAAAACTTAAAGTATCCTCAAGCCATACAATATCATGGATTTGTGTGACAATAGCCTGAAATTTAATTCATGAATCATTGAATCATTGACAAAAAAACAAAAAAAAACATGCAAACTTCTGCTATCAAATCACCAAGTTCAAATGGTGAACCAAATCAACTGGTTAATTTAAAAGAAATGTCTCAATGATTTGTATGCTGATCCATTTCAGCTCACTTATTCATTCATTCAGTCAGTCACAGTGGTTGTTGGATGTGAAGATTAAAATAACTTTCATTTTGGGTGATCTATTCATTTAAACAAGAACCAGCACAGGTGTCACAAACACTGGTGATTATCTGAAAAGGTCTTTTTAAAGCATTATCCCTCACTTTCAACTCAGGAAGTCCCTAAGGGACATATAAGGAACACACAGGTTCAGTCATGTGACAATATGTGAATTTTTGTTGCCATGGCAACATTTCCAAAATGGTGGCCTTTCTAATTAGCACATGTTGCAGTGTCAGCAATTTTTAAAAGCGCTTGTTTTTGTTACTAAAGGTATGTTTCAACCCATGCAACAATTCTAATGTTTTAATAACCTATCTTAGATTACACTGATTTTAATACATTTCTTGAACAAATTGATATAAAACAAGTTACGAAAATATTGTGGTGACACATATGTCACATCGGGCTGTTAACCTTAAAACAGTAGGTGGAATTTTGATGTGACATATTTGTCACAATTTTGTGTTGCATACAATTGCAATGTTGCATAACATTGTTTTGCATACAATAATTAACTTAATGCATTGTGCACAGAAGAAATTAAAGTGCCAAAGGTGATAACAATGGTTTGATCAGAGTGATCAAGTTTTTATTTCACTGACCATTGTATTGTTTGCTTGTTTACAATTTTATTGCACAATATACACATTTTAGCAATGTTATTGAACTACGTGCATGTTTAACCTCCAGTGTGAGATAGTTATTTATTTTTATTCAGTTTTATTCAAAAATTTCTAAAAATAAATTTCTGGTTAAACCATATACTTGAAAAGGTAGAATTTTGATATGTTACAAAAGAGTATTTACATGTAAAATGTAATGGTCACAGTTATGCGGTTTTGAAATATGTTGTGGCAAAGCAAATAAAATGCAAAACTGAATTACTTCTGAAAAAGGTTTTTGTTTTATCTTGCCAGAAAAGTAACAATTTTGATATGTTGTGAAAAAGCAAATAAACAGAATTTTTTTTTTGCTGTTATTTAGCAAAAAAAAAACTGACAAAATTTATTTTTTTCAAATGAGAAATAAATGCCCAATGTAAAATATATGTAACATTAAAAATGTATCATAAACGCCCAATGTAACTTATATGTCACATTACAGATCTTTTACAAGGAGATGTTGAATTTCAAAAACAACTGCAGAAACATGTTATAAGTGGTCCATTTGGTCTGTTTTATATGCCCCATAATTTTCCTATAAGGAGAAATTGGTCTGGGCTCTTATAGGTTAATGCATTAAGTTTTAAGCACACATATACACATTCTGCTAGTAAAGAGACTACAAATATTTCAAGAAAAAGAGTTTGTCCTTCAGTGTTTCAGTGTGTGTGGCTATTGGGTGTCTTGAAGTTTCTGAGATCAAGTGCACTAACTTTCTTGAACCTGTGGGTGGCACAAAGATCACCTGAGCACTGTCATGAACTTGTGATTTATGTAAGCTTGAATGTGTGTATGTGAGAGGATTACATTTTCACTCTGGACTTTATCCACTGCTTCCTGCCCAGCTTTGCCAGTCAGTCACAATCAGACTAATGGAGTGAAGTTTATCAGAGCAAGATGAACTTTGACCTGTAAAGCATAAACAAGTCAGGACAGGGTGAGGTTCATAACCGACACTTAGCCTTATCCTGTGTACAAAAATTCCCACAAACGCACACTCATTTTTAATTGAACCCTGAATAGAAGGAAGATCAAGAGTGTCTTTTCCTGCCGCTGTAGAAAAGAATAAAAGCAAGGTATGACCTACCACAGAGAGGACAAAGAGATGACTCTGTAACAAGTAAACCAAGACATTTGCTGAAACATGGGATGAAACACTGTCATCCATCTGAATCCGCTCTCATTCTGTTGCGCCGTCTTTCTATCTCACTTTCTTTCTGGTATCAAAGCGACATTGCTTTGGCTAATCAGCTACTCCTTTGATCCCTGTCTGTCAGGATCCCTGGGGACTCTGGGATGCCCTTTTATCTGCCTGACTACTGGGTCCTTTCAGAGAAGAGAGTGATAATCTGATTAACTGTAATACTTATCC